CAGGCGATGATGACACTGGGCCAACGTTTGACTGGTCTAAGACAAGCACTATTTTCAAGCGGGTTCTCGCGCAAATTTTCCGGCAGGCGTGAGACGGGAGTTTACTGTTCAGCCAGCCGAAGGCCATAGAGGCCAGCCTACAGGAATTACGGCAACTCTCAAGCAATTAACGATTCATAAACTAAAAGTGCATCTCAAAGTGACCTTAGACCCGGGCTACGATGATCTGTGGCAAGTGACCTGTGTAATTTCATCGGTGCTCTAGGACAAGTGAGAGTATCGTTCATTCATTCACACAGGCGCGTCCGCGCGACGGTGCTTATTGATCGCTCGGATCTGATATCTCACTCCACTCACCCGCTTACAAGTCAGTCGCGATTATCGTTCATCCGTTTGCACGTTAGTGCCACAGAGCCCATCGATAGACCGAATGACCGTGGCTTTGGTGACCACCGTAGCAAAAATAGCCACAGTCGAATGCCCCACAGTTCTGTTCAGTGCCACACAGAATTGCAAACAAAACTTTGCAGATTACAAAGATGTATTTTTAGCAAAATCATTAATCGTCGTTTGTTTCAGTTTGGCTCTCCTTTGGAAATCAACAAACGCGCTGTTTAAATCAAATGTACACTCCAATAATCGACCCAAACTCCGAGTATTAGCCAAACAATAACTTCAACGCCTCTCTGATTCAGATAACTTCCGGCGTATTCACTGCTTCACATTCATCTTCTTCTTTGCGCTGCTTAGCTTCATTGGAAACGAATTCACCTAATGACTAAAAAAGATACTTGATACAAAAATTTTAAATAATCCACATCTTCATCATCAAATTCCAAACAGGCGATTTATACACATAATGAGTGGTCCTCAATCAAATTGCATTTATCCTCTGGTGGCCGCAACACCGGCTGACTCTATGTGGATTTGAACCCAGCCTTCATGAAAGCGTTGATCAGTACATGCGGATGCACAAACAGCGAAGCTTTCTGACCAGATGCATGGCCACGAGAATGTCCAACTCGGCTTTCATGATAAGTTGATTATCTTCGATCAAAGGCAAAACATATTGCAGCAAAAGTTTCCGAAACGAACATTTGAAAGACCAAATCCATTGGTTGTAATATTTAAGAACAGTTCGGAGGCAGCCGTACCAGTTTGACGTTGGACAATACTGCGGCTTGGTTATGGCAAGGGGCGTTGTCCATAAAGAGTAAAATAGTGCGGCTTTGAGAAACCATTTTTCGGTTGACATCGGACAGCCAACTGTGAGACAAAGTAGCAGTCATCCATAAGCTCTTTGAAGAATTATCACTGCATGGAAGGCTTTTCTATCTATACGTCGGAGGCATCGTGGAGTTTGAAACTTACCAATCACCAACGGTGATAACTTTTCTCCATTCATGTTCCAACAAAGTAGTAACGTGACCCTCTCTTTGGATTTCTTGAACCCAGAAACTACCTTTCCTTTCAAACTTTCTGGGAGCTGCGTACAATACAAAGTTGTTTCATCTACATTGAAAATATCAGTCAGTATATCCATGGATTGACTGCAGTAACACCTCACGAAACTCGTCCACTGCATCACGTGGTACCGCTAAACTTTCCCCACAGACCTATAAAGTAATGCACATGAGTTGCTTGTTACGATGCTCTCCATGCTTTTCGCTGATAACAGAAATCCAAACCAAAGTTGCTTCATTCATTCCCTTGAGCTTTTCGTTGGTTTTCAGGTGGCATCTTTCCTCAGATGCGCCAGCGTTCAAAAATTCCCCGATAGTCGTTCGATGGGATACAACATTGTAGACAGCTTTTTGTGAAATTCCAAGTGATTTGGCTACGGAGCTCTGAGTTGCACCTGGCTGTTTCAGCATTTCCAATGCATTCTGCTTCTCTCTGATAGATAGGCGGTTGCACATTTTGACGTCAAATGACACCGTCTCCGATCACTTGCATCGGTGTGACTTCCTTGCAAGGATTATCCAATCAGTGAACAGTGCCATGAACGCGTCATACTAGGTGCAACGTCACTGGTTGAGTGCGACATTTCAGGGTGGATGGTCAATGGTCGTCCCGAACATCGGTCAATGACCAAGTGAGTACGTATCAGAAACTGCGACGTATTGAGGGATGAGACATAGTATAGTCAGAAACTACATTATTAAACATACGGTTGGTTTGGGTTTTCGAAAAAGTGGGAAGATATTAGAAAATGCGACTTAGGGGTGCGACATAGCAGGAGATTGACTGTACTCACAACCAGTTTTCCAGGGGGCGAGGGTTCGAAAAAGCCTTGGCGATGGTAACCTGGATCGATTGAGCGATAGAATCTGTTAGGTGGGTAACCAAAGGATCCCCAAGCATTGCCTCCTTCCTTCACACGGTAATTGAATTTCCGAAGAAAAGCTAATTCAAGCCAATCAACCAAGTCGGAAAGGATTCTTAATACAAGAGAACTCGTACAATAGAAAATCTATAAAAATACGGGGAAGTTTTGTGAGTGATATTTTGGTGTTATTTCCTGTTGTTGCCGATAATAATAATAATAATAATGCAATTTCTGACCTTTTTGGTCGATAAAACGAGTCAGAAATGTGTGGAATACTAGCTTAGAGGAATGTGCCAGTTTGACAAAAGCATAAATTAAAAAAATAGATTCAAATTGTAGTGGAACAAACCATTTTCGAGAGAGGGGACACAATCTCAGTAAAAAAAATAACTGGAAATATCAGTATAATAACGATATTGCTGATAAAAACATGCTGAGTATTGGAGGCCTCAACTTCAGAGGCCAGAGTGGATTCGTCGAGTGTGCATAAGTCTTAACGAATGAGCGACTCCACCCCGAACTTGTCAGAGGTGAGTAGCATGATCACAAAAAATATCCATGGTGCCTCAACCCTCGTTGATAACAGGCATGAAAAATCGATGACAGATGTTATAAAACTGATCAAGGTTAGCACTGCGTGCATCGGAGTAAACAAGCGAATTGAAAAAAGCAAAAGCAAATAAACAACAGATTCCGGCGATTGCGCTCACCCAATGCGGAAGCAAGAGGTATTGTGGCAGATCGGCCAGTGGGAGCCATGGAACTAGATCCAAATTCCGTCACCCTCGGGAGAGGTGCTTGTAATGTGCAAGTGGTGGCACCCGAATCGGATTGTAGTAACTCGGCTAGAAGTTCGATAACCGATCCCGGACTTTGACCCAAAGCTGGCAGCACTGAGTGCAATCGATCAGTGTGCAGTAATAACGCACCATCTCGTGTGCTCAACCGAACCATGTCAGCACCGTTACAATCAGTCCGACGGACCGCTGTTGCTGAACGCTGTCCAGTTAGAATTTGACGACGTCGATATGCCTCATCAGCAAGCCAGGCGACACTACGAGAACTGTGCAGGGAGTGAACATGAATCCGGGCATTAGAAAACCCGGCATGCATGCATGGCGCACTAAAACAGTTTGTTGTGCCAAGCTTAATGTAACATTACAGAATTATGTGTAGTGAATTTGATTATAAGAGTAGGCGGTCAGTAAATGAACAAGTTTAAGGGCTAAATTATGGGATATTTCAAACCCAAGAACCCCGACTGAGGAACTTCAGAAAGCCTGCATGATTGGGCCCACGAGGTTCCATATCTACATGCTTCTTCACGTCACGCAGAACAAGCTAATTTAAAGAATGGCACAACAGGAGTGCCACCAATGCAGTGTAATCAGTGATTTGTAAGCACTAGA